TCAGTGCTTCTCACCGACCTGTGCTCTCCCCACGATGAGCAGATTGGAAGAAACTCTCTGTTGATGATTTGTTTTTCAGGCAGCTGTGTCAATGTTGAAACAAGACTACAAAGAAGGAGAAATGACTCTGAAGTCAGCGCTCGCTCTGGCTGTCAAGGTGCTAAATAAGACAATGGATGTTAGTAAACTGTCAGCTGAAAAAGGTAACTCTTGTCCTCCTGCTTTGTCTTACCTGGGGAATTTATTGTGTAGCCACAGCTTTAGGGTTTAATGTATCTTAGTTCATTGAAGCTGCTGCTTAGGGGACACTAAGGACTCCATGTCTTGACTGAGATGAGCCTTGATGAACTGTAAAGCTACATTTCTACACCACAGGGCAGGCTTAAGGACTGGAGCCTGAATGTAACTCCTGGTTTGGAGATCCTGTAGCAGTGGCTGGCCTTGAACTCAGACTAGCATTGTTCTTCCCTGCCTGTGCCTCCCAGATCCTGGGATCTCAGGTGTGCTCCACCATGCCTGATGGAAGCTGCTTTTTAGGTCATTGTTTTCAAAAGAAATTAGAAAAGTCCATAGAGAAGTGTTGCTTTGTTTAGGATTCTGTCTTTTTCTTCTGGTTAGCTTGTCTGGGTCAGTTAGAACAACTGCTGCCCAGACTTTAGGGTAACGTAAATGTTTGCTAAGAAAGTTGTTGGGTGTAGGTAAAAATCAGGGTATCACAGATTGAAGGTGTTGTGTTCTCATAAAAATGTGTGTACATCATCTAGTGTAAAACATGGGAGAGCAAGACTCAGGTAAAGAGAACAGAGTAAGCCATGGTGACATCTGTTGAGTCCTTTTGCCTCTGATACAAATGTATGTTTGTGTTTTAGTGGAAATTGCCACACTAACAAGAGAGAGTGGAAAGACGGTGATCAGAGTCCTCAAGCAAAAGGAAGTGGAACAGTTAATCAAAAAACATGAAGAGGAAGAAGCTAAAGCTGAGCGGGAGAAGAAAGAGAAAGAACAGAGAGAAAAGGATAAATAGAATCACGGATTTTATAACTTCCAGAGGCACCAATTCACTTAGGAGCTGTCCTGGCCTTCCAGCCCAGAAGTGTTTTCTTGTAATTTTTTCCTTACCTTGGTCATCGGGGAAATAGGACATTGCATACTGAATTGGGTCCATGTCTGTCCAGTTGGATGCTTTATTGTAATGATGGACATCTTTATAAACATCTTAATCTCAACACATAATTTTTGGAATAAAACTTGGAAAGATTGGTTATGGCGAAGGGATACTTTCTCTGTGACAATAATTGTTGAGAAGATACCACAGCTGGAGAGATGGCTCCGCAATTGAAAGTGCACTGCTCTTGCCTGAGTTCAGTCCCCAATACCCATATTGGGTGGGTCTCCTAGGGCATGCAATGCCACTGGCATCTGTGGTTGTATGCACATACCCACCCAGACATACATAATTAAATAGGAGTGAACAAAAGGTACCAGGCTTGCTAAGGTAACCATTGCTGCCTTCTTGTGAGGTGTGTATGCTGTGGCTTGAAATACCCTGATTTCATAAAAGTTAGCGGAATGTCTGCCATCTCCAGGATTGGTTTGCTACTAAAGAGACTAAGGAAAGCCAGTGTGTGTGTGTGTGTGTGTGTGTGTGTGTGTGTGTGTGTGTGTGTGTG